TTTGCAGATTCGAGGATGATACTTACAAACGCAATATCGTTTAAAGGACTATGGGCGTTACCGTTTAATACATCCGAAACGACTGAGGAAGCGTTCTACGATGAGAATCGTAAACAAATAGGTAAAGTGAACATGATGTACCAAAACGCACCGGTCGCGTTCTCTAACATGGTTGCGATGAACGCCCTAGCATTGGAACTGGCTTACGGTGATGACGGAAAGTACTCTATGCTCTTACTCCTACCGTATCCCAAAGTGAAAGTCATGGATGTGTACAAGAAGTTCGAAAGTGTTGGTATCACTGATATTTACAAACAGTTACAGAGAGATATCGATGAGTTCGGCTTGGAGGAGATCGATATAAAGATACCTCGGTTCCGTATCAGTACAAATGTTGTTTTAAACAAGCCGCTAGGATATATGGGTGTTAAGGATATATTCCAGCCTCATTTGGCTAACTTTGGTCGTGTCACTAAAGAGGAGATCTTTGTGTCAGCGATTGTACACAAAGCTGATATCGAAGTGACGGAATCTGGTACAGTCGCGTCAGCAGCGACATCTGCATACATCGCGGACAGGATTGCAGCACCTAAATTCGAAGCGAATCGACCGTTTATATATTTCGTCATGGAAAAATCCACTGCAACTGTGATATTTGGTGGCATTTATTCTAAACCTACTATATTTTAGTTTTTAAGTGATCATTATTTTAAATTAATTGTATTGCATTGTAAGGTTGTGATTGTGTTCTTGTAATGTCAAACTGAGACAATTTAATTTTTGTCTAAAAATTATCTTCATTTGCATTCTTTAAACTGTTTAGCATATAATTGCTGTGTGTGTGTAAAGTGTAATAACATGAACATGCAATTATATTAAAAGTAATAATTTATAATTTACAAGTTTTTACTTTCCCCGTCATTAAAACTGCCGTAATTATGCCTGGAACCTTATGTTCAACAGAATTCCTAACTGTTGACCAGCGGTTAAAAAAAAAAAGTTAAAGCTAAAAGTTTAGGACCTTAGTCCAACTTAAAGTGCAAACTTAGTATACATAGCTTACTTCAACTTCAATTTAAATTAAGTATTGCCACGCGATAAAAACACAAAGATACATTTTATTCAGGAAGTATTTTAGTGGAAACTCATCATCGATCTTAACCTTAAGTCAAAGGGGTCGGCGTACAAGGTTTTATAAATATTTTGATGGCTTCATTTTTGAGCCCACTTCCTGCTTCTCAACACTACCTGTAAGAGAAATTAAAAATAAATATAATTTTAGCAAAAAAAATGCAATGCAACCAGATTAAAGATAAATACATAAAAATTATATAGACTAAGGGTCTGTCCCACCACTGGCTGATAGAGGTTCAGATAAAAATGACGTCACTGTCAGATAAGGGAACAAAATCCGATATTTCAATTTACACGTTCGATTGTTATCAGACAATTTACAATTTGGTGGGACAGGCCCTAAGTCACACGGTAAAAAATTGTTTTAACTTCCTTGTTATGCATCGAACAGCATTTAACTATGACTTCATTGAGCTTTGGCAATATGACAAGCAATTTTGTACTCAACTTCTTGCATTTCATAAATAACTAGCTGTTGGGGTGCGACTTCATCCGCATAAAATTATGAAAAATTAATTACATTGTTTACATTTGTCAAATTATCAATAGCAAATGTCAAAATGACATGACATGACAAAGCATAGTAACCTTGCTTTCTTGATGTTGGCAGCAACTTATGGTCTCTTTCCCACATTAGGGTTTTTATCCAAATTATTTACCCCTAAGTTTATTGGCGTTAAAATATATAGCCTAAAGCGTAACGGAAGTGTAGCGCTTATTATTAAAAAAATATTTGTTCAAAAATATGCTGTAATTGCTGACATCTTAGGCAACAAAGAAGTGTATGTTTACGCTTTATTATATTAGTATAGATTGTATTGTACAGATAGATGCGAAAGTTTAGATTGATGGATGTTTGTTAGAGTTTGTAGCCTAAACTGTTGAACGGATCTCGAAAGGCATTGATGTAGAACATAGTCTGGAAGAACACATTGACTACCTACTTTTGTATTTTATTTTGATTCTACGCAGACGGAGTCGAAAGCTAGTGTATTACATATTTAAAATATAATTTTTAAAGCTTTCTAGGTGTACAAGGTCAACATACAGTTAATGGACTTCGCAATCAACGTTTATTCCTTGCACATACCGGTTAGTCATTTATATGTGCTTTCATATTTTCACTTTTTTTCCTAATTACACTATTAACTAGGTTAAAATATGACATTGATTTAAAAAAAATGTTGTAAATTGTTTAAAAATTAATTTAAAAAGACTTTTTTTTACACAAACTGATAAACTCATTGACTACTTTTAGAGTAGTCAGAACTATAATTCTATTAAAATAAAAACAGTCTTTAAAATCGGACAAATAAAGCTATAGCAAAATTTTATTTTTATTTTCAATACAGTTCTGATCACATTAAAAGTATCGACATTATTACATAACTCACTAATGACCGGTTTCCCAGTCGTTTTTAGTTTTTGGTTCGTTAGCGTTTTTGGTTATATAACTTGATAAAATGCGTTTCCGAAATTCTAACCTAACACTAATGAATTACTATTTAATGATAAAATAAATGGAATCTTCAAAAACCCAGCATAAATATATTGAAATAGGGACGTGACTCAATTTCTTATCGACAAAGTTTCCGGTTCATCATAGAATTTATTCGTAACTTTAATGTGGTCGTTTATACTGTCCGATGATTGATAAGATAATATGTGTATAGATAGAGAAGTATCAAATTACTACAACACTTGCGGCTAACCACGGGTACACATTTTTTTTTAAACGCTAGCGTCTTCTTTAGATTTCGTCAGCGCGGCATAAAAAATACTTAGTCTGTCTTCTTTCGAACTATGTTTTACATCTGTGCCAAATTATATCGAGATTAAACGATTTGGAAATACATAGTATCAAACGTCCATCCATTCAAACTTTCGCATTTACAGTATTACTAAGATCATATAACACAATATGAGAAAAAGTAATAAAAAATAGTTGGTTCATTTATCTACAATTCCATGCTTACCATGAACTAAATTTGTTGTTTTTTTTACTCATAACGAATATAAAGATATATAAAAAATCAATAAACGAGGTAAGTTTCTATGAATACATCACAAGTAAGATGTGCCTAAGTTTGCGGTTTCGAACTTCATGTTAACTTAGCATTTCAAGGTAGACGAGTTAAAAGAATATGCCTTATTTCCTTATTAAACAACCTAAACGTGAATATTCTTCACAAGTATTTAACTTTTAGGTTATAATGTTGTTCTTTTTCTCGCTTTGGTGAAAGATAAAACGCTGGTAAAAGCTAATTTTGCTTTTTAAAATAACCTCAAAATATTTCAATACATACGAGTACAATGTGTCATGTAAATGTCATTTGTTTCGTGGTCTGATTTAAAATAATACCGTATTGGCCGACTTAAGGATAACGGTAAAAGGCTTAAGTACCTAAGTGTCATACTCATTATTCCAATTAAATCTTAAACTATAAATAAATTACAGTTTCAAGTTACGCATACGAAAGGAAGTCGGTTACAGTAGTTGGTTAGCAAATTGACTTCGCAATAAAACCCTTAAAGGTTTGATAAAATGGTTACATTTTGATATCACATTCGTATTATTGTGGTCTTTAAGTCAATGATCTCTTGTCGATTGATAACATTGAATAAATCTCGGAAAATACTGTCCCTTTTATGTCTCACATATATGAAATAGACTGGAAGGGGAGAGGATAAAAATTGCAGCACCACACTCATCAGATTGCGGAAATTATTACCACTTCAAGTCTGTCTTTAAATTATACGATCCCTTATCTATCTATACTTAAATTAAAATTAAAGTGTCCGTCTGTATTATCAAAAGAAGAAATCCAGGTTACGGGAAAATGTTGTACTTATTTGCGTTGCTGATAACGAAAATCGCATTAAAAAAAAATTCTATCTGTCTGTCTGTCCGCAAGCCGCATTTGTTCCGGGTAATCCCCGAAAAAATTGGACCGGACTTTCCCGGAAAGATAGCTGATATAGATGGGCATATTAGAGTCGCGGGTAAGCTAGTGTTACTATAAATTGATGTAGCAAATAACAATAATTATAAATAACTTATCGCAATAGGAATTCTTACATATCTGACCTTAGTCTGTGGTTTACCGTCTAACGGGTTAACCCACTGACGTCATCTAACAGTCTAGTTGTATCAATGGAATATACTAGTATTGTAAAGAGATAAGAAATGATTGTTGGTTTGTTTGTATTGTAAAGGCTCCGAAACTACTTCATCGATTTCAAAGATCTTTCACTATTAGAAATGTCCATTTTCACTAGGTAACATACTCTAGTAGGTTACATTTGTCATGAGATTTTTTTAATTCCGCGCGGATATAGTCGCTGGCAAAAGCTAGTATTAGGTTATAAAATGACATAATAACATATTTAAGCATTATTATGCCACAAACACTTTCTCTGTTGAACAAGAATGACAAGATGAACCCACCTACTAAAACAAGCCGAAGAGCCGCGAACTGTCCTTAGACAGTGACTCATACTTCTATACCAAGAGGAACTGAGTTGATCTGCGAGCGAGTTCACTGATCATCAGAATATCAATTTTAGTTGATTTAAAGTGTCCAGTAATTTAAGAAACAAAACTTCTTTCATCAAATTATTTAAAAAAGCTTTATTTCTAAACATTACTTAAAAGTCATTGTGACATTAAAAATGACAATCGCTGTCATCTTTCAGGTTTAGAGTCAAATGCCAAAGTCAAATGTTTTAAAAAGATTTTTAAATAATTTGTATGAAAAACTCATTAAAACGCTGTAATGTGGATTATTCCCGCATTGTAGTAATAGATAACGCACAAAACTGTGTATAAATGCTTAAATCTCCTTGTATAATTTATTACAAACTGTGAATTTTTAGGTTATAATTTAAATAAGAATTAATTGACAATGTTTTTAAGAAAATATTTTATTTCTCATGCAATACATAGAAGCAGATTTTTACAAAAAAATTGCTGTAGTCAAATTTGTAAAAACCAAGTGGCGCAGTACAAATCGTATAGTAAGTAATTCACTTACAATTACAACCTTTAGAGTATGTGCAGACTGAGCATATTGTTCCATCCTACATCTGTCCGTTCCTCTGCTACTATATACCTAGAACTTTTAGGAACTTAAGTTGTAAATGCTGTTTTTAATTTACATTTAATTTTCTATTTATTTTATTACAGGTATATTGCCTTATGTAAATACAACTTATGTTGAAAGAAGAAAACTGCTGTCATATTCATGTTTATCCAATTTGAGCAATACATACAGAAGATATTCTAATAGTTTACTTAATGGTGATGCAACACAGTTAAAAGAATCACAAAATGACAAAGGTATGTTAAATCATTAATTATAAAGTGTCTTTTTTGCTGAGGAAGTTTGAGAGTAGCCCCAGTGGTAGACAAATTAAGGAGTAACAGGTAAACATGGTATGGGCATGTTATGATGAGGGATGAATCGCTTGTAACAAGAAGGATGTTAGTTATGAATGTGAAGAGGTACACCGGTAGAGGTAGACCTAAAAAGAGAAGGATTGCGTGAAAGGTGACATGTTCAAAAAGGGAGTAATGACTGAGATGACGGTTGATAGAGTTATTTGGAGGATGAAAACCTGCACTGCCGACTATATGGGAGTAGGATCTGGTAGGGGAGATGATGAGTCTTTTTTGCATAAGTTGAAAAAAAGGAAATGGTCACTGGAAAGCAATTTTTTTTATGTAATATAAGGTGGCAAATAAGCAAGCGGCCACCAGAATCCACCGAAATGGAAAGCGACCGCTGCCCATAAACATACACAATTGCAGATGCGTTGCCTACCTTAGATTGACGAAGGACGAGACGCACATGAAGAGGACTATTCCTCTTCCTATGCCTCTCCTCCACTGTGAAATCCACTCTTCCTTCCCACCCTTTCCTGTTAAGAAAAGGATAAAAAGGAAAAGGACTAAAATTAGGCCTCCGGCACCACACTCATCAGACGAAACGCGGATTTACTTCCACTTCACGCCTGTTTTCTATGTGGTTGTGGTGCCTTTCTTTGCCTATTGTCATCTGCAGAAGGAGTTTTGTTGCCTAACTTTTATTAAGGGCACTTGACTTGTAATATACAGGTCCTGGTTTTGAATTCCACCATGTATCACAATGATTTTCAATTTTCGAATTTCAAATGTAAATTTAACTGATATTCTTGCATTTAAAGAAAGCATTGTAATGCAATCTGCACTTTTTGGTAAAGAAATTCAAAAGATTTGTGTGAAGTCAACCTGCAGTGGGTCAGTATGCTTTTCTATAGCCTAGTCACTAACTTAGGACAAACTTAGTACCCCTTAGTGGAGAGTCTAGTCAGTAGATGATGATCTCTGAGAATGTGTTTTATGTCATATGATGCTGTACTAGTTTGCTTAAATTTTTTTCAGAATTAAAAAGGATATCCCAACTGTTTCCACAACCGAGAGTAACACTTAATGAATTAAACTCCAAAACACCAGAGAAAGTGTTTGATATTTACTACAAACAAAGTGTGGTCGCACCAAAAGGTGTTAGGAAGAAAATGGGCTTGAGTAATAATGATTGGACATGCACTTATACCTTTGTTTGGCCGGAGAAGATAAAATTTGAAAGGTACAGTATAACTAACTAGCTGCTATAGTGTTTTTAAATTATTTAGATTAGTTTGAATTCATTTCAAATTAAGTAGGGATGGGTTGTGTAAAATCAGTCATGAATCTTATAGATTTGTGATTATTATTATAGAAGTTGGAATCGATAGATTTATAGTTATAACTTATGAAATAAAAAAATAACACTGTTTTCTCAAATTAATAATGACCATAATAAATAATAATATAGAGAATAAAGATATGAAAACCATAATAAATGATGAGAGTAAAAAAATTTTTATTACTACTACAGTCGTACGTAATCGAATTGGATTTCGCTATTATTTCTGTCATCGCTAAATTCTCTACATAAGAAATTAAATTGCCTTCACACAAATTGAAACTAATCTATCTTATTTAGACTATGTTCACATGAAAATTTGAAAAATAGCCTATGTTGCTCAGTCATCATGTAACCTTCTAAGTGTATTAATATTTTTTGAAATTGGTCCAGTTGTTTTTGAGTTATTTCAATGCATACAAAAATACAAGTCTTTTCTCTTTAGTATAAATAGTATAGATTATAAGGTGGCAAATGAGCAAGCGTCCACCTGAATCCGCCAAAATGACGAATCTACCGCTGCCCATAGACATTCGCAATAGCGGATGCCATGCCTACCCTTAATCAACGGAGAAGGAGACGCACATAAAGAGGATTTTCCTCTTCCTATGCTTTCCCTCCACCGTCAAATCCATTCCCTTCCATCCTACTCTTATGAGAAAAAGGGTGGAAAAAAAGGAACTAAAGTTGGGCCTCCGGCATCAAACTCATCAGACTGTATGCAGAATTGCTCCCACTTTACGTCTGTCTGTGTGGTCTTGGTTACACTGTGCGAGCCCTACAGTGCGAAGATGTGAAAGTGGGTTCTACCATTATTAAATACAATGTATAATCTATATTTCAGTGTTGCCATATCAAAACGACAAGCAGCAGAAAAGTCAGCGACACAAGCACTACATTGGTTATATAAAAACAAACGAATAGACAATAAAGGCAACCCAATATATGATAAGAAAGTCATAGATGATATCAAAAGTAATTTAAACGAACCTTTGCGTGCGGAAATCAGTGAAAATTCCCTTCAAAGGATAGATAGGATTTGGGAGGATTATGAAAAAGAAATAAGTGAGTATTAACTTATACAATTACTTTAATATAGTCAACTTTAAAACCAAACCTACTTTAGATTATAAATAGTTTACAATACGTAAATGTTCAAATTACAAATGTCAAAGTTCACACACAGAAACAACATTGGATGACAATTACCGTTGCCATGACAACCTTTCTTTTTTATGTTGTCAGCTTCTAGTTTTTGTCCCTTTCCTGCATATCGTTTTTTTCTAATTTGTTCACCCCTAAATGAAATTTCTAAAATCACATAGCCTATTGACTGTCATAAATATATGGCCTTATGTTAAAAAAAAAACTATTATAAATGCGATAGATTGTATTGATGGATGTTTGTTAGAGTTTGCTAAACTGCTGAATGGATCTTGATGGAATTTGGCACAGATGTGAAACATAGCCTAGAAAAACACCTACTAATTTAGTTTTTTTTAAATTCTGCATAGAGGAAGTTCTGGGCGGAAGCTAGTAATTCATAAATATGCTGTGATTGCTGACATTCCATAACGAAGAAGTGTTTAGGCTTTATTTTGTTAGTTGTTTTTGAATCATTTTTATATTACAGAGGATATTTATGAGAAAACCTTTGAAGAGGCAAGTCGCAAATTATTTACTCCATTATCAATAACCAAAGACTCAACCATAGATATTGAAGGTGAGTGAAAACAATAATCTATCTTACTAATATAAATGAGACAGTTTAGATGGATGTTTGTTAGAGTTTGTAGCCTAAACTGCTGAACGGATCTTGATAAAATTTAGTATAGATGTAAAGGAAAGTCTAAAAGAGCACATAGGCTACTGACTTTTTTTTTAAATTTCAAACGGACGGAGTTTCGGGCGAAAACTAGTCTTTGATAATAATAATATTTTTTTGATAATATATTTCTATATCTATACTAATATTATAAAGAGGAAAGATTTGTATTTTTGTATGTATTGAAATAACTCAAAAACTACTGGACCAATTTCATAAATTCTTTCACCATTAGAAAGCTATGCTATCATTGAGTAACAGGCTCTATTAAATTTCACATGAACGAAGTCTCGAGCAACAACTAGTGTATATATCTAAAAATAAGCTTAAAAACATATTAAAGTATATTGAAGGGCCTTTTGTTGTAATTGTTATTGATTCATACATTTTTTTACAGATAATATACCTGAGGAATCTCAAGATGTTGAAATTGACGAATTTAATCATTTATCTGGTAATTATCTTATTAATTTTATTTTTTGTTATAATAAAAGATATAATATGTGATTGCTGTAAAATAATGAAAATGTTTCGCACCCCTGCATTTTTAATATCGCTGTTTGGATATACTTTAGTTAAATTGTACTAACTGCTGTCTTTAAATTCATCATTAGTATAAATGTGGCAATATATACACTAGTCCATTACTAAGTAACCATTCTGAGTGTGTCAGATATTCTATCGGTTGCATATAAATAAATAAAATAAATAAATAAATAAATAAATAGAATTTTTATTTATATACATCTGAATTTAATTATGAAGAATACAGGTATCTACAAGAACTTTAAAATTATGTCTTTATTTAATCGACAGAGGAGGGGACGCGCTGAAAGATCCCCTCAACTATAAACTTTTACTTCCCGTTCCCAAACTTTCCGGTCAACCATAAATCAGGATATAAGGATACACAATAATTGTTCTAAGTGTCTCCTCCCCTGTCAACATATCCTCCCCTTCTAGACACTTGTGTTCCTGGACGTGTTCTAATACTGTAAATAATTACATTCCAGATACAAAAACACCAGTACATCCAATATTCGGCAGAGTTGTCCACTCCCCTTCCGAGTCTCAGTTAGCCAAACGTGATAGGATATTGAAGCAGAAGTTTGAGAAGTACGATGAAGAAATAACTCCTTTACCCATCGATCAATTTACGTAAGTCTATACTTATGTAGTAAAAATTTATGCTTTTTTATATCTATACATCTATACCAGTCTATACTAGTATTATAAAGATGAAAGATATGTATAGAATAAACTCAAAAACTACTAGGCTCATATCTATTCTTACACCATTTAAAAGCAACATTATCAGTAACAGGCTATATAATTATTTAATTTCACGCGGACAAAGTCACGAGCAACATCTAGTGTATGATAATTAAAGCTTTTTGACTCCGTCCGTCGATTTAATAAATATAGCCTACTCAATAATAATAATAATAAAGATATGAAGTTAATAATAATAATAATAAATCTTTATTTCAAGAAAATCTCATATTTTGTTAGTAAAAAAAAAAAAGCTTATTGCCTAGTGTTAATAATGTAACTTTAAAATGGTAAAAGTTTTTCAAATAGGTGCAGTAGTTTTTGAGTTTTGACGAAACTACAAATCTTTACTCTTTATATTATTATAGATGTAAAATAGTAGCTCGATTACACCATACATGTGTAGGTGATAGAAAAACTCAAAAACTACTGAGTCGATTTTAAGAAAGTATTTCATTAGAAAGCATTATCTCTTAGTAACGACAAAATTTTGTTTTTACATAATTGTAAATAATTAGTATTAATAAGTAAATATATAATGTGACTTTTTAAAAAATTGGAAAGTGGCAACCCTTATCTTCAACATGACAACAAAACCACAAGTAGGTTAAAACCCTGTGGTTTTACGATCGCCTTGAACTGTTTGAAAACTAGGTTACGACCGAAAAATATTTATTATTCGACCTCATAACCCTTTAGGAGTAAACGTGACCTAGATAGACCTAATTTCAGTCTACATACGCGTGACCTTGACATAACCTTGGAAAAAAAAGGTCGCTAAAATCTCAATATGTTTTTAGTAAGTTTTCTATATATTGTGTCATTTTAAATAGAAAATTTACTGCGTAATTTCTTTAATGGTGCAAAAGGTTTCTTTAAATAAATAATGTTGGTATAATTTTTAATCTACGGTTACTAAATTATCTTACAAAATGCATATTTTAATATTATAAATGCAAAAGTTTGGATGTGTGTTTCGATGCGTATTTCTGTGACGGACCTCAATGAAATTTAGCAGAAATATAAGTCTGGAAAAATATATAGGTTTATTTTGTTCCCTTTAATATCGTGTGAACGAAGTCGCGGGTAAAACCTAGTCTTTAACGTTTCTTATAACTTTCTTCCAACATCAGAATAAGTAAAAAAAAGAAAGTAAATGAAATGGAAAGTCCACTCTCACTTTCGACTAAAAGTCCCAAATATGCGTCACGTGACGTAAACGTCAGACGTCACTTGACGTCGCTGTCAGTTTGACGTTCACGGACGTCATAATGACGTAAGCGAAAAAAGTGAAATGCGTTCACTTTCATACTTTCGTTTTCGTTGAAAACGAAAACACTTTCGTTTAGTAACGATTTTTACGATTGGTCTTACATATTTTTTTTTAATCTAGTATAGTATGAGGAAAATAAATTAAATCCGATTTTATATGCAAAACGCAGCGCTAATTTGAATATATTCTCATGAAAAACAATTTTTTTAATCGTAAAAATATATGAGGAAAATAAAATTTCAAGGAATCTGATAATGCAAAATGAGCTATTTAACTCGATTAAAATAATAGGAAGGTATTTTTATATTGTTTTGGCTCAGACCCTATCCTAAGTTCTCCCCTAATTTAGGCTAAAATAGTCAACCACGTTCTTATGTGCTGGCATCACAATGTTTCCTTCACCGTAATAAAATCAATGTACACATAAAGTTCTAAAATCGATAATCGCATTAGTAAAACATCCATCTAAACTTTCGTATTTATAATATTAGTAAGATTAACAAAAATATACAGGAAGGAGATAACCTCGACACTAGAATCATCGCGCGTGTTAGTAATAGTGGGTGCGGCAGGGTGTGGGAAATCTACCCGCGCCCCCGCAGCTATATTACGGGCAGTGGGTTGTAATACCACAGCTATTGTATCGGAGCCCAGACGAGTGGCCGCTATAGGACTGGCGCAAAGAGTTGCCGATGAAATGGGAGAACAGGTAAGAAATAACGGGGAATGGACGGTAAACCACCATTCACATGAGCGTTTTTTTAACGCTCCGCGTTGGCGTTTTTTAGACACTCGGTCATACGAAGGCTTTAAAATGACTGTTTTGTTTAGAGCAGGCGCACCTTTGAATAAACTGTAGCGCATCTGTTGTATTGTCGATTTTTTCTCAGCCAATTGAACTGTTTAGTTGCTCAACTAAAAATTAAGTAGAGTATCTCCATATAAGCTCATAGGAATCGAAGCAAACTTAACAGTTGTGCGATAGTTTAGTCAAAGGTGTGCGTGACATCTTGTTATTCAAAATTGAATTAAATAATCGTTACAATTTAAAAAAACTGTCGTATTTGATCTTTTAATGTACAATAAAAAAGCGCTAGTGTGAATGAGGGCTAAGGGAGTATCCTTAGTATTAGTATGGGAAATCGACTTCAAAGGAAAATAATGTCTTGAATAAAGATAATATGCTTTTACTTCTCTATATAAAACTAGTAGCCTTCCCGCGACTTCGTGGACGTGGTACTAAAAGTACTTACACAAGTACTCTATGGGTGCTTTCAATGATATACATATGTGACTAATTTCATCGATATCTGTTGTGTTCTGGAGATAAATAGTAACAAACATCCATCCATCCATCCAAATATAATAGTACGAGAAATTATTACATGTCTAATTTGTCCAACTTATAGATAGTTTTGTTATGACTTTAAAGAACTTTTTGATAAATCTCGTAATGTGATGATGTTATTTGAAAGAGATTTAATTTGACATATAGATAGATTTGATACCTTAATAATATTATAAATGCGAAAGTTTAGATAGATGGATGGATGTTTGTTAGAGTTTGTAGCCTAAACGGCTGAACGGATCTCGATGAACTTTGGCATAGAAGTAGAGGATAGCTTGGAAGAACACATAGGCATATTTACTTTTTTTTTAAATTCTACGCGAACGGAGTCGCGGGCAAAAGCTAGTATAGATATAATTTAAAATGTATTCAAAAATCATCATCCACTTGCCCTTATTCATTATGTGCTGCTCTTCCATACATCTCTATCAGCCGTCATATCTGAATCCACTCCTTTCTTAAGCATATCCTCTTTCACACAATCCATCCATACTTTCATCCGTCTTCCTCTTACTTTGTAGCCATCCACATTCAATTTTAACACTTTCAGGTTTATGTCCCCATCATTTCGTCGCATAATATGTCCATACCACGCTAACCTTTTGCTTCTCAATTTCTCCACTATCATCGCCAGCTCACTATACGTCCCCACCGTGGGGTTCGGAGCCTACCCTAAAGTTAGGGTGACTAGGCCATAGTCAACCACGGTGGCCAAGTGCGGGTTGGTGGACTTCACACATATCTTTGAATTTCTTCGCTGAAATGTGCAGGTTACATCACGATGTTTTCCTTCACCGTAAGAACGTCGGGTAAATTATGTACATGTTAAATTCGAAAAATCGAAAATCACATTGGTACATGGCGGCGGGATTCGAACCCAAGACCTGTAGATTACAAGTCAAGTGCTTAAACCACTGAGCCACCGACGCTCTCACCGATTTCTCTACCACTAATTTAAAATGTATTAAAAAATTTTCTATATTAATTCCAGGTCGGAGAATCTATAGGCTATCAAGTGCGTTTACACTCGAAGTTGCCTCGACCTTCCAGCGGCATCATATTGTACTGCACATCCGGTGTACTATTACGACGGTTGCAGTTAAACCCTGGTGAGTGGGGAGTGTCTCACTTTTGTTTGAAAGTATGAAAGAGATGACATGTACACTAAAGAGCAATGAATCTGGATCACTAAAAAGTTATTAGTCTCAGATAGCTAAAAAATGACGTCACTCTCATATAAGAGCAGGGGTCACTAAAAAGTTAAGGGTCTGTCCTGACTGATAGAGGCTCAGATAGCCTAAAAATGACGTCACTCTCATATAAGAGCACGGGTCACTAAAAAGTTAAGGGTCTGTCCTGACTGATAGAGGCTCAGATAGCTTAAAAATGACGTCACTTTCATATAAGAGCACGGGTCACTAAAAAGTTAAGGGTCTGTCCTGACTGATAGAGGCTCAGATAGCCTAAAAATGACGTCACTCTCATATAAGAGCACGGGTCACTAAAAAGTTAAGGGTCTGTCCTGACTGATAGAGGCTCAGATAGCCTAAAAATGCCGTCACTGTCATATAAGGACGAAATCCGATATTTTCATCACATTTTACACGTTGGATTTTTATCAGACAATTTACAATTTGGTTGGAGCCTAAATCTCGTAAACTAAGAATGGTTAATGAAATAAATGATGTTTTATAGACAATGTTATACCCCTTACATTAAAATTTAAACTACGCTTATATGAGAGGGGTGGAAAGGGAAAGGGACTAAAATTAGGCCTCCGTCACTATACTCATTAGACTGTACGCGGAATTGCTCCTACTTCACGCCTTTCTGTGTGGTCGTGGTATTGCTGGTGGCTATCCAATCATGCGAATATGTTAAAGCGTGCTCTTACCGTAAAGGGTTTTATAGTTTCTTGTCTTAAGTGAGTTAGGAACGATTGTTTCTGAATATCGGTGTCCAGATACAGGCATTGCCTAGTGTAGGCATCACCAGCTAAAATGTATTAACCACAGATTGTATAAGTTTAGTTTAAATGTAATTGTGATTGTTAAATCTTTGTTTGATAATCAAATTATTTCTATTTTTATTTTATTCTTTTATCCCCAGGTCTGGAAGGTTGCTCGCACGTGTTCATAGACGAGGCTCACGAACGTGACGTCAACACTGACGTCACACTGCTCCTTCTAAAGCGAGCACTCGAAATCAATCCTAACCTCAAAGTGGTAATTATGAGTGCAACGCTTGATATTGAAGTATTTACCAAGTAAGTATTACATCTTACAAAAACTAGTTTATATAACACTTTGTTATTTGAATTTGCAGTTGGTGTACCTTTCCAATACTTCTGTACTAGCTTTCGCCCGCGACTTCGTAGTCTATGTGTCCTTCCAGGAAATCATCTACAACTATGCTAAATTTCATCGAGATACGTTCAGTAGTTTAGGCTACAAACATCCATCGAAACTTTCACATTTATGATACAACTAGCTTACGATCGCGACTTCTTTCGCGTGGAATTAAAAAAGACAAAAGTGAGTAATATGTGTTCTTCCAAACTATCCTCTACATCTATACCAAATTTTATTGTAATTCGTTCCGCAGTTTAGGCTACAAACTCTAACAAACATCCATTTAAACTTTCGCATTTATAATATTAAGGGCCGGTCCCACCACTGGCTGATAGACGCTCTGATAGCTTAAAAATGACGTCACCGTCGTAAAGGAGCACAATCCGATAAATCCATTATATATTTTACACGTTAGATTATCATCCGACAATTTACAATTTGGTGGGACAGGTCCTAAATATGAAATGGTCCCGAAATTGGGTTACTGGTGCTCTCCTCTCTTTTCACGCGGTCGCGTTGTCACTTCGCGTCGAAAAGGGAGCATTAAGGGCTGGCCTCAGTTGGGTGTAGATAGGGTGGGCCCAACTTATCAAAAATAAGCAGCGTCGAAAGCAACACGGTGCAGAGGGTACCGGTGCGTTCCACTGGTCCTGGGACCCTCAATTCGTATCTGAGGGCGGCCACAGAGGGGGTTTTTAGTGAGTGAAAATCTCATATAACCCTGTCTTTTACAAAAGACAGGGTATCTTTCGAAGGTTTCCCCCCGTACCAAAAAAAAGGTCCTAAATATGAATATGTTTGATATTTTAATTTGTTCCAGATATTTCGATTCTTGTCCAATAGTAGAAGTTCCCGGACGTACTTTCCCAGTACAAGTGTCGTATTTGAATGACATTGAAGAAAAATATCGTATAAAATTACCGATGACTCTTGAGAATTGCGGTAAAGAAGATGGAAAACCGCAAGTCAATTGTCAAGAGGCGAGTCTTTGAAATAATACTATATTTATATGACTCTTAACAGTTCCCGTGCGGTCCGCAAAAAAATATGAAAACCTTATTTTGTTGTATACACTAGCTTTCGCCCGCGACTCTGTCCGCGTGGATTTAAAAAAAAACAAAAGAGAGTAGGCTCTGTGTTCTTCCAGACTATCCTCTACGTCTATGCAAAAATATTATTATATTTATGAAATAAATAAAAAATAATTATAAGTGTAATAATCTTACTAATATTATAAATGCGAAAGTTTAGATAGATGGATGTTTGTTAGCGTTTGTAGCCTAAACGGCTGAACTCCATGAAATTTGGCACAGGTTTAGAGCATAGTCTGGAAGAACACATAGGCTACTTTTTATCCCGGGAATAGTTACGGTTCCCGTGGGATTCATTAATTTAGATTTTTAAGGTTCCTCGATCATTCTGCAAAGGTTCAACATATCATATAGAAACTTGGCACAGATATAAAACAAAGTCTGGAGTACACATGGGATAAGCTTCATCCCAGAGAAATGTCCGGTTCCCGAGGGATACGTAGCTTTTTATAATTCATATAGTTCGTATGTTTTCTAATACCACGCGGACGAAGTCGCGCGCAACAGCTAGTAATATATAAATATAATAAAATAATGATCAACGTAATTTTACAACAGCATTGTTTTTTTACTAACTTTTAAAATACCATTTCTCTTTATCAGAGTTTTTTTTTTCTAGGTAGTTAATGTTATCAAATCAGTAGATAAATCAGAACAAGAAGGTGCAATACTAGTTTTCCTCCCGGGTTGGGCTGAGATCAAACAAGTAAAGAAGTTGCTGGACCAAATATATGCGAACTCCACACATATGGTATTACCAGTACATTCTAGGTAATATAAATAATGTTTTTATTAATTACTAGCTTTTCCCGCGACTCCTTTCGCGCGGAATAATAAAAAAAGTATGCCAAATTTCGTCGAGATCCGTTAAAAACATTTTTTTTAAATTCACATCCGATTAGTAAATATTATAATAATTAGATTTAATTATTGAATTAACTATATTATTTTATTAGAAAAAAAAATGTTTTATGCAAAAAAATACAAGATATCTTAATAACCTAATCTTAACCGAATGACGCCTAATTTGCACTTATAAATTGTTTAATACTAGCTTTTGCGCGCGACTACGCGGGGAGTTAAAAAAAATCAAATGCAAATATAATGTTCGTAAGATACGGGTTTCTTACCACGATTGAATTGTCTTAGCTCCCGATATTTCGGCACAGTTGCATGCGCCATGTTCTCGGGCTGACTGACAACTAAACTAAAACTACCCAATCGTGGTAAGAAACCCGCATCTTACGAACATTATATTTGTAAAAACCACGACAGTTTAAAGTTACAAATGCAAGTAGTCTATGTGTTCTTCCAGACTATTCTCTACATCAATGCCAAATTTAATCGAAATCTGTTCAGCTATTTAGACTACAAACTCTAACATCCATCCATATAAACTTGTTACATAAGTATAATTTAAAAAAAAATAAAAATCCTTTATTGATTTTAAACAGTTTAGTACAGTTCGTGGGACTCTGTCTCCTGAGATAGTAATAACTGTGTTTCAGGCAGCGTCTTTTAACAATTGTCTTGCGGAATTTAAAATACATGGTTACAAAATAAGATGAGAGTTATACAAAAAAAAATTGTTATAAGCTACTTGGTGTATTATGTGCGTTTGTGTGTGTGGACGTGTGCATGCGTATGTGTGTGTATGTATGTAAGTGTTTGTTTTAGTAAAGATATGTACATATATTTATGTCATGTTTTAACTACTTTATATTTAAGCGTAACTAAGTTGAGTATTAATTTAGTATGAAAATCTACTTACCGATTCTATAATTAACAATTAAATGGTTCTTAAATTGGATATATTTATATAAATAGGTGATATTTTAGGTTATCAACAACAGAACAGAGTAGAATGTTCGAGAAGCCGGCGCCGGGGATAAGGAAGATAGTGCTCGCGACCAACATCGCGGAGACTTCAGTCACGATACCCGATGTCGTCTACGTCGTTGACACTGGAACTCATAAAGAAAATAGAATTAAAGAGGGTACTGGTCAGTAATTAAATTCAATTTTTTTAATAACTCGTATTTCGGCGGTTTTTCTGTAGCAAAAATAATCTTACGTATTTTTCTCGGGTTAGTCCCAACCGTCACCCTGCTGTCCCCACGTGGGGACAGGTGATAATCAATAGTTTCATTCGTCTCACCTTTTGTGGGGACGGTTGGAACTTATTTTATTTCATAACGGTTCCATCTGTCACTTTATTTATAGTGGGACAGATGAAACTTATTCTCACGTGGGGACAGAGCGGGGTAACGGTTGGGTATAATACTTTTTCTCTTAACTAATTCAGTTTTTTTTTTAATTATTGTTCGTCACAATGGATAATAACGAAGTAAAAGTTAACTTTTGTCATATTTTAACTATTTCATTGTTGATTATTCAAATAGCTAAATGTCTTGTAAATAGAATAGAAAAATTATAACGAACTAGATTTTACCGGCGACTCTGTTCTTGTGGAATTTTTAAAAAAATAAGTAACCTATGTGTTCTTCCAGACTAGAGTAGAGGACTACATCTATACCAAATTTCATCAATATCCGTTCAGAAGTTTAGACCACATATAACAAACATCCATCTAAACTTTCGCATTTATAATATTAGTAAGATTTGGACATTAAAACTCTATTCTATTGTTTTTTTAATTAATTGTGGATCTCATTCATTCTTTTAATTGAATCATTCAATTGTTACAGTCTACAGCTGTGCTATTTTTTACATCTAACAACATTTTATATATTTTTTTTGATTATTTAATGTAAATTACACTATTTTCTTAGGTACTGCAAGCTTAGAGACCGTGTGGGTATCTCAAGCGGGCGCTAAACAGAGAACTGGACGCGCGGGAAGGGTACAACCAGGTAATGAATACTGTCACTTTGTAATTTCCCTAGACAGATTGTAAACAGTAAACAACAACAGTTAATGCGTAAACACACCTTGTTATGCAAGATGTCAGCAATTACAGTGTATTTTTAAATAATTATTTTCACGCTATTGTACTTGGAGGGTGAGTAAATTGGAAAAAATGCTGTGCGAGAAAGAGATAAAAACTACAAGCCAATAGCAGCAAAGTAAGGTTCCCATGGTTACTCAAATTCTTAACCAGTACTAAAGATTTTAATTCTACATTTGAATTTTAAAAGTTTTACATTTGTGGGCGTCACAGCCAAGTTATGCTTTAATAAAATGTAGTCTTCTTTACCTCTTATGTTTTCTTCCAATTTGCACAGAATAACCTTACCAATATGGTCGTCGTGTCGTCGAGCTAATGCAACACCCTTATTTTACATAAATGTTTTAATAATATGTTGGATCACAATTGCAAAGCTTATATCGTTATTTCAAATTATGACAAATGGTATTGATTTATAGCACAGACTAAATAACCTTCAAGAATACAGAATATATCAAAATAGTTAAAAAGCTAACACATTTGTAAAAAAAAGTGTTTTAATAATATGCGAATGAAACCGCATGGGAATATCTAGTTCCAATGTAACGGATTCTTTGCGACTTTGATTTTCAATTAGCTGATTATTTATAATTTTCCTAGTTAGATTACAAACACATGGTATTCGATAACAGAAGCAAAAAAATACGTTTAATGTTGTGTTTATTATGTGCGTTTTTTTTGTTTCTAGGTCATTGTTTTAGGCTGTATACGAAAGAGAGAGAAGAAAGTTTTGCATCGCACTCCACTCCTGAGATATTGAGGTAAAAACGCCTTTTCTCAAGTATATATATAGTTATTTTCAACGAACTATTGCTTGCAAATTTCGTTAGCGCCAAAGAGATTATAAAATATATAGACGAGGTAAACACTTCACTTAAAAAAAAACACATGATCACTAACGTTATGTATTCGTACAGCCTCAAAACTATATACAAATATAATTAAATGTATTTAAATGAATTGCCAATAGATGTCACTAAATCATGTTTTATTGACACCGTTTAGTTTATTTTATAACAATAGATGTAGCTTATTATAATTTTTATAAAATGTTTTATAACAAATCAAAACAAGTGACTCCAAACTTAACAATTAACATATTACCTTTCAAAGAAGTTACCGGTGAAATGTTTTTACTATACCTCGTCCATACTAGCTTTCGCTCACGACTTCGTCCGCGTGGAATTAAAAAAATAAACAAAAGTAACCTATGTGTTCTTCCAGACTAACGACATATATACCAGGTTTCAGCGAAATCCGTTTAAGATGTAAATTTTACCAAACATCCATCGCATTTACGAGTATTATTATGGTTTCAATGTCTTTGGTAACAAACATCCATCCATACTTTTACCTTTATATTTTATGCTATATTTCAGAATACCTTTAGAACAAACAGTATTAAATTGTAAAACATACGCTCCGTTGGAGAAAGTTGGAACATTTCTATCTCTTTTACCGGAGCCGCCAACTGACAGAGCAATACAACTTGCTGTTCATGATCTTATAGATTTAGGTGAGATTTACACCATCATCACCAGCTATATCCCACTTAGGGCACGAAAACTACCCTAAGGGTGGCTAGACTCTAGTCAACCTGGGGTAGAGGGTGGGGGCCCTGACTATCAAAACGATCTCGGGAAGACGGTAATCTAGATTGGTCTTTTGATTTTGAATGCCGAAGGTTCCGGTGTGTTTTTTGAAGATCCTGAACCTTCCTCTATGTCACTAGAGGATTGCTACCGACGGGGTTTTAGGTCAAATCCTACGTAAGATTCCCCCCCCTGACACCAAAAAAAGGCCCTAGTCAACCTGCACTGCGGGTTGACTTCACACATATCTTTGAATTTCTTTACTAATATATGCATCACGATGTTTTCCTTCACCGTAAGAACGTCAGCTAAATTGTGTATATGTGAAAATCTAAAATCACTTTGATACGGTGGGATTCGAACTCAAGATAGTATATTACAAGTGAAGTGATCAAACCACTGAGCCATCGACACTCAGATTTACATATATACTAATACGAGCTGTGCCCGCGACATCGTCCGCGTGGTATTAGAAAACATACAAACTATATAAATAACAAAAAGCTGCCTTTCTCGGGGATGAACCTTATCCCATGTTTACTCCAGACTTTGCTTTATATCTGTGCCAATTTTCATACGATATATTGAACCGTTGCAAAATAATCGAGTAAACATTAAAAAACTAAATCAATGAATCCCATGGGAACCGTAACTATTCCCGGGATAAAAAGTAGCCTATGCTATACTATGCTAGTACACTATGCTCTAAACCTGTGCCAAATTTCATGAAGGTCCGTTTACCCGATTAGGAAACGCTAACAAACATCCATCCATCGTAACTTTCGCATTCATAATATTTATAAATGCGAAACAACGACAGTTTATTCGTATTGTTTTCAGGAGCTTTATCGAAATCGGAGAAATTAACTCGTTTAGGTATACTAGTGTCTAATATGACGTTACACCCCCGTCTGGGATGCAGTCTACTTCATTCCGCGGTTTTAGGAAACGTGGTTGCAACAGCTAATGTAGTCAGCCATTGTTCTAATAATGTGGAATTGTTTATTAACGCACCTGATAGGAGAGAGGGTAAGTTACTTATCGATATATTTTTTTAAAACCAATGCTTGCCCAACCCTTAAAAGTCCGATTTTTAAAATCAATTACAAGTGTAACCTGTATAATATTCATTAGATTCCTCTAAAATTAAAAACTCCTATTATTTACATTTGGAAGGGTCTGTCCCAACACTGGCTGATAGACTCTCAGATAGCTTGAAAGTGACGTCACTGTCAGATACCAAAATCTGATACTTCCACCAAATATTTTTTTTATAATATATTGTGGCAAACTCGCAAGCGGCCACCTGGATCCACCGAAATGGAAAGCGACCGCTGCCCATAAACATCTACAATTTCAGCGTTGCCTACCCTTCATTGACGGAGGAGACGCACATAAAGAGGACATTTTCCTTCCTATGCATCTCCACCGTCAAATCCACTTTTCCTTCCCATCCTTTCCTCTTAAGAAAAGGGTGGAAAGGGAAAGAGACATGTTACATACTTTGGATTTTTATCAGACAATTTACAAGAATTGTGGGACAGGCCCTTAAACTTATTTCCAAATGCTAAAATTAAATGCACAAATGACCACTAAGGCCTTTTCTATTGGCTAACAATTACCGTTACCATAAAAAACTTGCTTATTTGCTACCTTATAGTTTTTGTTCCATTTCCTGCATGAGATTTTTGTCCAATTTATTCACCTACTAAATTAAATAGCGTGAAAATGTACAGCCTATAGCGTGTCGTAAAGTTTTTATAGTTCATATACATATATCTTATTGTTAATTATAGAACACTAATTACCAAGGAATCAGACAGTAACCATGGTTTTTCTAGTATCTACCACTATTCAATATATTTTTTATAGAGATACGTGCATTTAAAAGTACATATAATTGTAAATCTGATCACTGCGCGTTGCATCGAATACAGCAGAACTACGAGAACGTACAAGAAGAAGGCGACCTTCAAATCTGGACTGACAGACATGGGTTAAGAAAGGATAGACTTCATTATGTTCAATGTAAGTTAAAATACTAACTTTACAGCGCATAAAACTAGACTATGTACTTTTCCAGACTATCCTCTACATCTATACCAAATTTCATTGAAATCCATTCAGCCGTTTAGGCTACAAACTCTAACAAACATCCATCATCATCATCATCAACTTGCCCTTATCCCTTATGAAGGGTCGGCACAGTATGTGCTGCTCTTCCATACATCTCTATCAGTCGTCATATCTGAATCCACTCCTTTCTTAAGCATATCTTCCTTCACACAATCCATACTTTCTTCGGTCTTCCTCTTCCTTTGTAGCCATCCACATTCAATCTCAACACTTTCTGGTTTATGTCCCCATCATTTCGTCGCATAACATGTCCATACCACGCTAACCTTTTGCTTCTCAATTTCTCCACCACTGGCGCTACTTTCAAACTTCCTCTAATGTACACATTCTTAACTTTATCCAATCTTGTCACACCACACATCCATCTTAACATACGCATCTCTAACAAACATCCATCTAGACTTTATTGGTATTGTGATTTCCAGCGATATCCAACCTCCATTTACAGCAGTTATTGCAATCCAGTATGATAGAACTGCACCCTGACGTGTCAGAACTGACGCGTTTCTCCGACATAGATGACTTGTCAGCGGCGACATTACTGTCAGGTGTTAACTCACTGCTGGTGACAAGGAGACATGTCCGCACTAAGGGCAAACTGAAGACCGCTGTTGAATTATTTACAAGGTATTTTGGACAATATTCGTAACAATTATACTTGGACACAAAGATTACTAGATTTTGTAACAAAAAAAAACACCGAAGTTAAATAAAATCAATAATTGAGGATAAATTTAAAATTATGTAAAAAACGTATTTAATTATATTTAAACAAAGTTCAGTACTTACTTTATTTTTAACTAGCTTTCGCCCGCGACTCAGTCCGCGTGGATTTAAAAAAAAAAGTGAGTAGCCCGTTTTCCAGACTATCCTCTATGTCTATGCCAAATTACATCTAAATCCGTTCTGCAGTTTAGGCTACAGACTCTAACAAACATTTATCTAAACCAGAGTTCCCCAAACTTTATGTCGTAGACCCCTTGTTGCCGTTTTCCGTGTTGGATAGACCCTCTACTTACCTGATATTGATTATATTTTTTTTTAACTGTAGTGAAGTTTAGTGTTAAAAATTTGAAATAAAAATACATGTTAATTTATACATTTGTTAATTTAATTCAAATTAAAATACTAAAAATAAAATTTTGTATCCGTTATGCAAAATATACGTACCATTAAATAAACTTTGTATATTACTTTAAGCGGAAATTAATTAAGAACGGCTTAATTCCGGGTTTGATCCTCCGGTGACGGCACCGACTAGTTTCGGACCCTTGCGAGGCGCGACGTGACCGCGAACGAAAGTTAAATAATACTCGCCCTGAAGAAGGATCCCCGAAGGGTCCGAAACTAGTCGGTGCCGTCATCGGAGGATCAAAGCGTGAATTGAGCCGTTCTTAATTAATTTTCGTTTAAACTTTGTATACTTCTTATCAAAGTGTTGAGATCCACTATCGTGGACCCCCATTTTCATTTCATGAACCCCCAAATTTCTTTTTCGCTGACGTAGACCCCTTGCAGGTTGTCATAGACCCCTAGGGGTCGATATAAACCACTTTGGGAATCACTGATCTAAACTTTCACATTTATAATAGTAAGAATGGATGAATATGAATTTCAGTTCAGGTGACAGAGCGCATATTAGCAGCGAAAGTGTTAATTATGGTATTACAAAGAATAATCCCACCACACAACTGCTTGCGTACTTTGGTGGTCACCACTCCAGTGAACGACGAGCTCTGGTAGTTTACAAAACGACGGTGGTATCACCAATTACTGCATTACTGTTCTGCAACGGAGATATACAAATGGTGAGTCTCTTTCTTGCATACTGAATTAGAAAAAGACATGTTTTGTTTGGCTTTAACATAATTTAGTTGTACTATCTCTTTCTTGCATACTAAATTAGAACAGGATATTTGTTACTCTCTAACGAGAATTGTGCATCTCTTTCTTGCATACTGAATTAGAAAAAGACATGTTTTGTTAGGTCTTAACATAATTTAGTTGTACTATCTCTTTCTTGCATACTAAATTAGAACAGGACATTTGTTACTCTCTAACAGGAATTATGTGTATCTCTTTCTTGCATACTGAATTAGAAAAAGACATTTTTTGCTAGGTCTTAACATAATTTAGTTGTACTATCTCTTTCTTGCATACTAAATTAAAACAGGACATTTGTTACTCTCTAACGAGAATTGTGCATCTCTTTCTTGCATACTGAATTAGAAAAAGACATGTTTTGTTAGGTCTTAACATAATTTAGTTTTACTATCTCTTTCTTGCATACTAAATTGGAAAGGGACATTTGTTACTCTCTAACAAGAATTGTGTATCTCTTTCTTGCATATTAAATTTGAACGGAACATGTTTTGTTACGCCTTACCAAGACTTGGTTGTGCCATCTCTTTCTTGCATACCAAATTAGAAGGAGATATCAGTAGTGTTATTACATTGAGTTGAATGAAATCAAATCTGTCTTATTCTACATGTGAAAATCTTACTATTGCGCTCTCTTTCTTACTTATTGAGTTGAAACGAGACTAATTTTTTTTAGGCCCAGAAATCTGTTGATGAAGATATGGCAATATTGAGTCTGCCGAGACATAGACTACGTATACACGTGCCTACTAAGTAAGTATTCCTAATTACATAGAAAAAACGTTATATTCAAGGAACTTTTATAAAAGTAGTAATTACTGTGTTCAATTTTGCACTGTTAATAGTTATTTTTCTGTACATTTAAATTTCAGAAAAAATTATATACGTCACCCGATCTGTCAAATTGACAGTTCACTTGTTTATTACATTTTTTATTTATTTTACAGTCAAGCTGAGAGCATAATAAAAGCGCGAGAAATGCTTTGGAAGACATTCAAATATTACATCGAAAGAGATTTAAAATCAATACCTTACGATCAGTTTACGATAATTTCTAGATTCAAGACTAGATTAGTGAAGGCGATCGCAAGAATATTAGTCGAAGCAGATAATGATAATGAAAAGAATATAAATAATGATGATTATAAATAAATAAATTATTTAAAAAAAAACTTTTGTCTTAATGTCGAGTATACCTACAATTTACAGTTAACCTAAATATCGCACACGAAATAACACTGTTAAATACTGATGTTATTGGTAATAACAATGGTCTACTTTATGGATTTACTAGCTTTCGCCCACGACTCCGTCCGCGTGGAACAAAAAGAATCAAAACTGAGTAGCTTATGTGTTCTTACACACTATCCTCTAAGTCTATGCCGAATTTCATCGATATCCGTTTAGTCGTTTTGGCTACAAACTCTAACAAACATCCATTCGTCTAAACTGTCGCATTTATATTAGTAAGATAATTTCTAGGTAGTCAAGCGCTTACGTTGTAAGGCACTATTCAACTTTATAAGATCTGATAAATTATAATTCAAGGTCAAAATGTGATGGTTCAAGGTTGATTTAATTATAATCACAGGCTATTATTCATACCAGGATTCATTTTATTTTATCATTATTTCGTCATCTTTTTAACAAAAAGTGATTTAATTTTTAATCTGATTAATAAAAGTATTTTCATCTGTGAAAATAATTGGTCAAAGTGACAATGTCATTTGTCAACATTCAAAAATCGGAGAATGAAAGTGGAGGGAAGTTAATTATAGTTATGAGTCAGTTTTAGTTTAGTTTTTCCGCTTGCTTTAAAGGGAGACGACTGCTTATTTACATATATAAATATTTGCTGAGATAAGCAATTTAGTGGGGACTACATATTACCGTCGCAGCGCACAAACCGGTCAGTAGATCGGTTTACCTCGCCTAACGCGTGACATTGCATTCATTCCTTGCAAATGTTTCAATGATTCTGTGAAAATTTGTGTTCAAACTTAATTCAAAACTTTTAACAATGCGTGTAATCGCTTTCGTATTCGTTCTGTTCGGTTTATGTTACACTCAGACGAACATAAATCAATCTAGCCTTCATCATGGACTTACGGAGAGGATTGGTAATTTTTCCATCGAAATGCTTTATCATACGACGACCATGCAAACTCCAGTTGACAACCTTGTAATGTCACCGTTTACACTATGGACAGTGTTAGCTGTAATCGCCGAAGGTGCTTCTGGTGAGACGTTAAGAGAAATTAGTCATGCTATAAGAGTTGCGCCTAAACTAAGAGCTAAAACCAGAGAAGACTTCGGTAATATAGCCAAATGGTTACAAGTAAACACATCTACTGTTGATTTAGAAAAATTTAATGCTATTTTTGTTGATGAAAAAAAATTACCACTCAACGATTTTATTTCAATCGTAAATCAGTATGATACTAAATTGGTTAAACTCAATTTCACGGGCAGTCAAACTTCAGAACTAATAAATAGAGCGATAGATAAAGTAACACATGGAAAGATTCCTAATTTAACAGATCCTGGTGATTTTGCGGAAACTCAAATGATTTTAACAAGTGCTTTATACTTCAAAGGGCAATGGACCGTGCCTTTTAACAAAAGTTCAACATCAAAACAACCATTCTATGACAGCCATAGTAAAAAGATAGGAGAAGTTAACATGATGTATAATAGACACACATATCCATTTGCCAACGTAATGCCATTAAATGCCAGAGTAATAGAAATACCTTATGGTAAAGAAAATCGTTTATCCATGCTTATAATGTTACCTAACCCAGGTGTGTCTCTACAAGACATGTTTCTCAACTTCAACAACGTCCCTATAGACACAATTTTTGAGAATCTAAAACAATCGACTGAAGAATATGGTGATGAAGAAGTAGATTGTTTTATCCCTCGCTTCAAGATTGAATCAAATATAGATTTGATGGAAACATTAAAAAGACAGTTGAATATAAAAGATTTGTTTGATGAATCTAAAGTTAGTCTTCCGTTTATATCAAGGATACCGATGTATGTTACTAAAGTTTCACACAAAGCGGCTATCGAAGTGACAGAAGAAGGTACGGAGGCAGCGGCTGTTACTGCAGCGGAGTTCACAAATCGTATCGGTGTTGCTAGATTTGAAGCTAACAGACCTTTTTGCTATCTAATCATAGAGAAAACAACAAACTCTATTGTGTTTGGTGGATTTTATCAATATCCATCTTTATTTTAATACATAAATTATTTTTTTTATCTTTTTAAATGTCACAAACATTTGAGAATAGTCTATATTGAAGTCCTTGATTTTATAAGCGGTAATACCACTTTTAGTTCATTTGAATTGTAAAAAAGGCTAATATATTTTATAATAATACTTATCATAAGTTTTCTGATTATGCACTTGCACAGAACCAGTATTTTTTTAAAAGGAATATAAGGAATAGCAACACATTTTTCCAAGTTTTTCAGGATTTACCACATAGTTTACACACAATGTAAATCTTCTGTGTTGACTCTATATATTTTTGAATTAATTTATATATTTTATTAATTATTATTCATGTTACTAAACTAAAATTAATGACCTGCAGATGGGTGTTACCTGGTATTTAGATTGGGAACCCACAAGTCACAAATAATCAAGCAATTGGTGGACTAATTGGATAAACAGGAAACACCCCTATAGACCTTGGTTCTAATGTGTGTAGCAAATCATTTAAACAGCTCAGAGTTCAACTCAATTTGATTTGTATTATAATTGGTATTTTCAACACCTAGGCATTAAACTAGTTTGTCCTTGGTGCATAATTAAGTACATTGTGTTAGCTGTGAACTGCGAATTTACTTGTTGAGCCATAACTCAAATTTAATTCAATGTGAACTGAATTTTCGATCCAGTTAAGACCTATACACATATTTAATCTGTAATTCTCAAAGATGTTTAGTACTTTTATGTGTGACACTAAATGTATGTATAATTTTTCTGCAAGATAAATAGTTAATATGTAAAAGTTTAGTCTAAAATTGTTTTATTTACTTATGATCTGTTAAAAATAAGTTAATATAAGTTATTTGAGGAACTGTGATAAATGTAGAGATCATGAAATTACTATTTAAGATTTTAATAAAGATTTAATTTAAAAACACTATTGAAATTTCTTTTATTTAATCAAAACCCTCAGTTTATAATATACTTGCTTTCGCCCGCGATTTCATTCGCCTGGAACTAAAAGAATCAAAATGTAGTAGCGTATGTGTTCTTCCACACTATTCTCTACGTCTGTGCCAAATTTCATTGAGATCCGTTAAGTCGTTTAGGCTACAAACTATAACACACATCCATCCATCTCAACTTTTGCATTTATTTATTACCTAGGATATGACCTCAAGAGCTATGATTTTGTTTTTACAAAGGCATTATAACAGACTTTAAAAAATAACCTAGAAAGCAACGAAATGAAAAATTGAGATTCCTTTTGGTTTCCCAAAATGTGAATGAATGAAGGTTTTATTTGCTTTTGTCTTATATTTCACATATTTGTTTACCTACAGATAAAAAAACACATAATTGTGTCTACTGAACCATAAATCTTTTTTATTTTGTTTCTTTAGGGTATAGACCTACACAAGCATCAGCAAAATGTATCCAATGGTTAAGTCGAACAGAACATTAAAAATAATAAATTGATATATGTGAAAGTTCAAATAGATATCAGATACTACAAAACGGCTAAACTGATATAATTTATGATAGCGGTAAATCTGAAATAACGCAAAGGTTATTTAACAAGTTGTAATTCCATCGAACGAAGTCACGTTCAAAAGCTAACTTGTTTTACGATCAGTACGTGTAAGACCTCGATTAGTTCAAGGAAAACCCCATGTTTTATACATAAGCACTATTGTACAAGTTATTACAAATTAATTGATAAACTTCGCACAGTCGGAACAAACTTCCCGATGACTGACAAATGGTTTTAATACCTACCAGCTGTTGCTCGCGACTTTGCCCGTGTGAAATTTAAAAAAAAACATACAGACGACTAGAGTACCTCCTTCTTTTGGGAAGTCGGTCAAAAAATAGTAAAAATATGTTTTTACTATTTTATGGGCTATGGCCCATGTTACTCAGTGATAATGTAGCTTTTTTAATAGAGCAAGATTTTTTGAAATTGGCCCAGTAGTTTTTTTGAGTTATTTTATTTCAATACATACAAAAATACAAACCTTTTCTTTTTATAATATTAGTATAAGGTTGTAATACACGTCTAGAATAACATGCCTTCAGTTCTATGACGTCAATGTACTCTTATAAAGCTTAAGTGTGGGTTAATACTGAAACGTTAATATAAAAAGATAAAATTTTTATAGTGGTTGCTGATTGGTGATAGACCATAGAGAAATATTAGAGTACTAGCTTTCACCCGCGACTCCGTCCGCGTGAAATAAAAAAGTAAGTAGCCTATGTGTTCTTCCAGACTATGCTCTACATCTATGCCAAATTTCATGGAAACCCGTTTAGACGTTTAGGCTACAAACTCTAACAGACATCCATCTAAGTTTTAGCATTTATGGTATGTTAGTAAGACACAAGCTGGGTTCCCTGGTAGTAAAATTGTCAGTGCTGTCGCTTCTCTTATATGGAAATCAAAAATATACTGGACTCGACCTAAATGCTCATCAAACCATAACTACCTTGGTTGGTTGCATTGTCGACCTTTCCCATACAAGTCACCCATACAAAATACCGGATGTTTAGATATTGTGATACAGAAAAGCCTCACACAATTCAAAAAAAATCGAATCATACTAACATTGCGAAAGTATAGATGGATGGATGTTTGTTAGAGATTGTAGTGTAAACGGCTGAACGGATTACGATGAATGGTATAGACGTAGAGGATAGTCTGGAAGAACAACTAGGCTACTCGCTTTTGTTTTTTTATTCCACGCGAACGGTGTCGCGAGCTAAAGCTATTTTTAAACAAATTTCTAATTAATAATTCTTAAATAAATTTCTATAAATCGTACTGCCATCTCAGTAATAATATATCTCTGTACGAATTCCAGCAATAAAATCCCATTTATGTCAAGTAATCGAAATTACTTTAGTGTCAACAATGTTTTAATAGTACAAAATCAATCACGTTTTTATTATATTTTCCTGGGAAATACCGACGTTTGGTTTCTACGCGTGTTCAGTTCATTGGAGATGACGTCACGATTGACGCATTCTCCAATTCACTTGAGAGAATTTGCGCTTGATTTGTTAGACCAGACATTCGATTTGTTTTGCATTTTAAATTATCTAAGTTATATTTTCACACTTTTTTTAAGCTTCTCAATAAACAGCCAAATTTCATACAACACATGTTGTAGTCGTTCATATTTCGTTCTTAAAAATGATGTATGTTAAAGCCCGCAAAACTGTTTTGTAAAACTGTGTAAATTCGACCTAAGCCACGACCACAATGAATACAAACTTACAAGTAGAAGTAATTCCTTGTACAGTTCGTGTGTCGGAGGCCAATTTTAATCCTCTCCCCTTCTCACTGTTTTCGTACTAGGAAATGATAGGAAAAGGATTTTGCGTGATAGACGCATAATCAGGGGAAATAACCTCTTTCTCCGGGTCCTTTCTTTGATTTAAGGTAAACAACGCACAAGGGCGGATCCAGCTTTGGCGCCAAGGGGGCGTAGGGGGGGTCATATAGTCGTGGTCAAGTCAAGAGCTTGACAAAGTATGTAAATATATTTTGTTAAGCTCTTGACCAACCAGCTAAGGGGGGGGGGGGCATGACCCCCTCACCTCCCGGCCCCTGGATCCAGCCGTTGACAACGCTACTGCGTCTACGAGCAACTATTTTGACGAATACCGGAGGCAGCTTGCTGGTTACTGTAAATATACACTAAGGGTTCGCCTCACTGTCTCCTTGACGACAGTGCTTAGATATAGTGGTGTTTTTTTATTCATAGAAAACTTTTCACCATAGTAAACAGGTTTTGGAGACATTTAAATAATTTATTGTTAATTGTTAATATATTTATCTAAGCGTAGTTAAACTACGAGGTGCATACTGAA